AAAGAGAACCAGACTCAAATATGAGATGAAAATGGTGGTCGCCAGATGATGGGGGTAGGAGTGGGCAAAATATGTGAGGGGGATTAAGAGGTACAGACTGCCAGTTATAAACCAAACGACAAGGATGAAAAATACAGCATGGAGAACATAGTCAACAGTATTCCAGTAACTTTGCCTGGTAACACATGGTAACTACACTTCTCCTGGTGAGCCCCATAATGTATATTCTTGTTAAATCACTATGCTGTACGCCTAAAATGTACTATGACAACTGTATTGCAATTAAAAATGTTAAAAATTTTAAAAGTTAACTCAAGGGAGACCATAGACCTAAATGTAAAATACCAAACTCTTAAACTCCCGGAAGACAACAAAACGGAAAATCTAGCTGATCTTGGGTTTGGTGATGACTTTTCAGATACGGTCTATGAAAGAAAAAAAATGGGTAATTTAGATTTCATTAAAATTTAAAACTTCGCCATCAATGACATTGTTAAGGGAATGAGGTTACACACCACAGTCTAGGAGACAGTCTTGGCGAAACACACACTTGACACGGGCTTGTTATCCGAAATACAGGGGAAACACTTTTATTTTTTCAGTTTATTTATTTACTTATTTATTTTGAGAGAGGGAGGAGAGAGCACAGGGGAGGGGCAGAGGGAGACAGAGAATCCCCAGCAGGCTCCGTGCTGCCAGCGCAGAGCCCGACACGGGGCTCGATCTCGCAAACCGTGAGATCGATCATAACCTGAGCTGAAATCAAAGGTTGGACGCTTCACCGACCGAGCCGCCCAGGAGCCCCTAGGTAAACTCTTTTAAAACCCAACGGAAGGCACATGAACCACCAATTAAAAACTGGCTCACAAGATCTGAGCAGATGCCATACAAAAGAAGATATAAAAATGGCAAATACACATATGAAAACATGTTCCACATCGGCAGTCATTAGGAAAGTGCAAACCAAAACCTCAGTGAGATGCCACTTCCCACCCACCAGGATGGCCATCATCAGAAAGGTAGAACAGGTGTTGACAGGAATGAGAAGGATCTGGACCCTTCTACGTCGCTGTTGGGACGATAAAATGGTGCTTTAGAAGTCAATCTGGAAGTTCCTCAGTTAGACGCAGAGTCACCACTGGCAGCAATTTCGCTCCTGGGTACACGCCCAACAGAACTGAAAACACATGTCCACACAAACACCTGCACGTGAATGTTCTTATCGGCACGACTCGTAATAGCCAAAAAGTAGAAACCACCCAAATGCCCACCAAGTGACAAATGGATAAACCAAATCCGTCACAGCCTTACAAAGGAACAGGATATCACGGCTTTGCCAATGATGTAGAAAAGAAGACCCGCGTCAATTCAAAGGTGGAGGACCTGGGTCCCGACAAGCCACACTGCCTCTCAGTTTAAGCTCTAAACACAGTCACTCAAAAGCCTCACATGTTTGCAGGAGCTACGTAACTATTCCCTCTGGAGCTCAAGAAGTCAAACGGATGAGTAACTTTGGGTTGCTTCTACTCTATGAGCAGTGAGCACTGAGCACTCCCTTACTGTTTGAGAGAGAGATGCTGGAAATGAGCCCAATTTCTTTCCAAGGACGCATAGGCACGCTCTCTGCTGGGCCTTCTGCCATTTGAGTGGGAGACACCTGATTCCAGGCCAAGAACCAGAAGGCGGGCTTCCTGGGAAAACAGAAGGGTGTCTCTTCACCTCCAAGGATTACGAGGCAGGTCAGTCGACATCCGGGCCCCTCCCTTCGTGACTGCTGTCCCCGTGTCTTTGGCCCTTTTGGTTCTTCCTTCAATGGCTGCAGTTTCCGGGGCCCTCCCACGCCTGAGGTCGGCTTCGTTACCCCAAACCTCCTGCTTTCCTGGCGGGACCCAGCGTGCACAAGGAAGACCAGAGAGAGGTATGAGCCGTAGTAAGAAAACCTTCACGTGTGTGCGTGTGCAGGCACACCAGCGTGTACCTTAACCTGACTTGGATGCCGTGCCACCGCCGAAGATTGGTGGGGAACCGGAAGTCTAGCGCCGGGGCTGTGCTCACACGCAGATGAGGAGAGCTTAGTCTGTACCAAGTTTCTATGGGAAGGGAAGTTATGAAACCTCCACACCACGCACGGGCCAGGTTCCTTCCGGTTTCAGGGAAGATGTTGGCCAGAGTTGATGCGCAGGAGGGCAGTCAGGATGGGGATAGTACTTAACCTGTAAAACATTGCTAAGAGAACAGACTCGAGCCCGGACGAGAGCCAATTCAGGGAATTCACCGGGGACTTGTCGGGCTGTGGGGGGCTAAAGTGGGCACAGCTTTACAACAGGGAAGATGAAGATTAAAGCTGGAAATCTGGGTGGGACAGAGACACGGATGAAGCGTTCGGTGAGCGGGGAAGCGTCCGGTTCCTGAAAGGTGGAACAGAAGCCGGAGCCTCTTCTCCACGGTGAGTGAAAACGAGATCCCTGCTTGGGGATGGAAGCGTCAGCAGATGTCATGTTTAAGGTTCTCCCCAACCTAAGGATTTTGTGCCTCTAGCGTTCTCAAAATATCTTAAGACCTAATAACGAAACCTCTTGACTCTGGGCCTCCCAAGATGGTGCTTCTCCATCACCATCCCATCGAGCGGTGAGGTCACCCTTTATCCAGCTGTCCAGGCCAGAACCTGAGGCCCATCCTGACTCATCCTTCTCCGCCACCCCACAGCCCGGCAGCGCGTCAACTTGTCACGATGTTCCCCAAACATGTACTTGTCACGATGTTCCCCAAACATGTAGGAGCCAGCCCTGCTTTTCTCTTCCCTACTTCGGGCCATCATCCCTTCCCACAGGTAGGCAGCCCCTTCCCCGGCCTCCCACCACACACCCTCTCTCTTCAGCCCACACCCAAATCCTCTCCCCGCCGTGGGCCGTACTGCCTAACTGAAGCCTTCAGAGATGCCTCAGGGAGCCTCAGGTCAACGTCCAGACTTCGGCTTCGCCGCCGGGCCTCTGTGGTGCAGCCCCGCGCAGTGAGGCAGCCCCATCTCTCACCACCCCCTGCTCCTCCTTCTCAGACACCCAACTGGTACAGCAGGCCGTGCTCGAACCGGTAGACTCATGGCTGCACTTGGGCTTGGGCACAAGGCTGTACCTTCCCTGGATGCGTATGTAGCCTCTCTCACTTGACGGACTTACCCACCTTGCACCCCACTCTAGATGTCCCTCCCTCCTCTCCAAAAGCCCTGCCTCGTCCCGGAGCAAATCAGGGACCCTTCCTCCATGTCTCCACAACCCCCCACAACCTCAACTACTTATCCTCTCTAAGAGAATAAGCCTACTAATTCTCTCCAAGAAACTACGCGTATAGGGCACGATGGTGCGCTTAGCGTCTAGAAGATTAACGCCAGACAGAGGCCAAAGAAGTGGGAAAAGTGGCCCCATCCGTACAATCCAGGCCTAGCGGTGTTCAAGACGGCACTCCCGTGATTCTCAAAAGAAACCCTGACCAGACTGTGTAACCCGAGGTATATGACACGAAATCCTAACGTCCAAAACACAATTGGTGTAAGACACGATCCCTCCTCCCGGCTACCTCCTCCTAGAAACCTTGTTCCAAAGAACCCACCGCTCTCCCTGTGTCACGGGGGCCCCGGGGAAGACAGATCACCAGGTGCACGAGTCCTTGTGTGGCTCAGAAAGGTTTCCTACGTCCCATGAGATTTCAAACATCCTTTCATAACCCTGCAGTATCGTCGGGCCAGGAATGCTGTTACGCATCATGAATTATGAACTCCCATGCCTGATGGATAAAAGTCATAAAATCACTTGCGTTTTAGTAATAAATCTCAGCTTTACTGAGCACACCACGACTTGCTCTGGACAGGCAGGGTGTGGGCTGGGCGGGTGGCCGGGCTCAGCAGCGGGCAGCCGGCAAGAGCCTGGGTGTGGACGTTTGCTCTGTCGTGTGTTTACGTGAATCCCGTTTGTGGTGCATTGGACACTCAGTTGGTACGTATGGCCGGAAGGGCTAAGGAGAAATGAACATTTTTAGTAGTGGAGAATAAGGACACGTTTTTAGACGTTAAACCGTTAAAAATTGCAATTATCGACTGTATCGGCCAAAGAGTCAACAGCTCTTTTCACACCCATGTACGGAGCTGCCATGAACCTCAATTTGTGCCGAAAGGAGGTAACTTAATATGCCAGATGTCTCCATCCATTCTTGGAACATATTTCTAAAATCCATTTTTGCGTGTGATAAGGAAAATCTTTCTATTTGGTGATATATATATACACACACCTATACATGCACCACACACGATTTTGGGGGGGCTAAAAGACTTGTATGCACAAAGGGGCAACATGCATTTCTTATGTCAGAGAAATCACTGTGACCACATCATGCTTTGGGAGGGAATTCTCCGGGCACCGATCTAACTTCTCACAGACGAACAGAAGGTGAACCATGCACATGAACATCGGCATTAACGAAATCACGTTCTCACGAGTTAATACTTCACGTACTGGAATTCACAGTTTCCTAACACGTTGCCAAACTGCAACGTAACTCATACTTTATCGGACATGACGTGGAATTGCAGTGAGCGCTAAACTTGGAACAGATTTGCCGTGGGGCACCTAGGTGGCTCAGTCAGTTGAGCGTCTGACTTCGACTCCGCACGGGGCTCTGTGCAGACAGTGAGGAGCCTGCTCGGGATTCTCTTTCTCCTTCTCTGTCTGCCCCTGCACCCCACTCTCACTCATTCTCTCTCTCTCTCAAAAATAAATAAACATCAAAAAAATATTTTTTTAAAGAACCAGATTTACCGCACAAAGCACTTTGCAAAGTGTGACCTTTGAAGGGGTTGGCCGGGCACGGACGTGCGAGGGTGTCTGGAGCGCGTTTGTTTATTCAGCAGGGATATACGTCACTCCTACTGCAGGAGGCTACACCCATCAGGCACAGAAAAAGATTTAGTTCCTTTTGGCCAAAATAACTGACAGTCCGATAGCATGACTAATGAGACCATTTGAATAAAAGGTGCAATGCTTAGCAATTTTAACACGCTGTTGTTTCAAAGCTCTTCTCTAATTGACTCACATTATATGAGTTAAAGGGGGACAACATGATGATTGGATATTTGTATATATTGTCCCGTGAAAAGTTTTTTCTTGCGATGAAAGATCTCCTTCCTCTCTTAGCAACTTTCAAATATACAAAACAGTATTATTAACTCGAGGCATTATGCTGTACCTTACGTCCCCATGAGACTTCTTATATAACTGGAAGTTTGTGCCTTTTTTTTTTTTTTGGAGAAAGAGAGCACACACCGCGGGGGAGGAGCAGAGAGAGAGAGAGAGAGAGAGAGAGAGAGGGAGAGAGAGAATCCCCAGCAGGCTCTGTGCTGTTAGCACACGGCCTGACGGGCTCGATCCCACGAACCATGAGATCACGACCTGAGCCAGTAACAAGAATCAGATGCTCAACCGACTGAGCCACCCAGGTGCCCCAGTACCTTTTCACCTCTTTCAGCCACTCCCACTCCCCCACACCACCACGGGCACCACCAATCTGTTCTCTGTAAAAGCCCTGCTTGTCTCATCTCCCTCAGGGAACCAGTACCATGTTCAGCCTGTGGTAACTGGGTTCTTTCCATTCTTTGTTGTGTTTACATGACCAGAAATCTCCAAAGGCTCAACCTTTCTCCAAGGAACACTTTTCATTTTCCACGTAGAAAAGGGAGTGTGGGGTGAATCCAGCTGACCACATTGACTTACTGGTCCTCGGTGATTCATTATCTCTGTAGACTATTCTAATCCGTTTTGGTGCAGTGGAAAAATTCTTAAAAGTATTTCTACTCATCAGTATTTACGCTCAATAATTATAGCACCACAAACAGAATTCTGTAACAACTAAGCAGTGTGGGGACAGACACAAGGAAAATTCATGAGAGTGTGTCTTCTAAGAAAATATTATCATTCAAAGGAGCAATTATTCAAAAAGAAAGACTGTCATTTTCTTGTTTTCAACGTAATCACAACTTTTCCATTGGGACTGGATATCAGGAAGAGAGGAGCTAGAAGAAGGCGCTTTTTCTCCGCTGTCCATTTTTTTCAATCTACGATCAAACGGCTGAAATCAAGAATGCTAAAATGACACGGGATGGCTTTACCTGTCTGTGAGGCCGCATGTGTCTATCTGGAGGTCACGGAAACTCCCCAGCGCCCCCTGCTGCACCGTGATGGGATCCACCGCCTTGTCGCCAATGGAGATGAGCCTCAGGCAGCCCTGAAAGCCGCCCAGGGGACCTCCACATCCAGAGCCAGAGACGCTGTCAGGACAGCCTGCACGGAGATACACAAAGGAGAAAGTCAACCGTCGTGACCAAAATAGTGCACAGTGTTTCTTAAATGCAAGTTTGCCGCCTCCTCCTGAGGACGAGGCTTTCTAACTTTTCGGCAGGGCCATACTGCTCACGGAGGGGGTGACGGGTGGCTGAAAAGAACAGAAGCTAGCGGTTTCGGTAAAGCATAGAAATAACAAGCGGAACCAGGCTTACGGGCGGATGGGCCGAAGGTAGGACGCGCAACCCTACCCATAGAGTCAAGGCATGTTTAATTTCAGCAAAATGTGATTCCTCTCGTGCAAGCGCACAGAAAAAATCACTCCTTTTAGCATGATATGAAACCATGTGAACTAAATAAAGGGCATGTGATAACAGAATCAGAGAAAAAACTCACAGGCATAATAGGACCTGCTAAATTTAAGATACTTGAAAAATAATTACGTCATGTGAAATTTCTACTCGTTCTGTCGTCTTCCCCTGAACCTGAGCATAAAAACATTGTTTGAGGGGCGCCTGGGTGGCTCAGTTAAGCGTCCGACTTCAGCTCAGGTCACTATCTTGAGGTCGTGAAAGGTTCCGACCCAGCGATGAGACTCTGGAGCTGACCCGGCTCAGAGCCTGGAGCCTGCTTCCGATTCTGTGTCTCCCTCTCTCTGCCCCTCCCCCATTCATGCTCTGTCTCTCTCTGTCCCAAAAATAAATAAACATTAAAAAAATTTTAAAACAGAGTTTGATTACAACCAACTATGAATTCAGAGAGGGGTGCTGAGTGCAGCTCAGTGGATTAAGCATCAGGTGACTTGGCTCAGGTCCGCAGAATCTTGTGGTTTTGTAGGTTGAGCCCCTCATTCAAGCTCTATACTGTGTGGCTGCCAAGTTGGGAGGCTACTTTGAAGAGTCTGTGTCTCCCCCCCGCTCTCTCTGCCCACCCCCCCAAACTTGTGCCCTCTCTCTCTCTCCGAAATAATAAATGAATACACTTAAAAAAAAAAAAAAAAAGGAAAAGAATTATGTATGTGAAACTTCCACTCTGTAAGTGCATATGTGTGCGCACAAGCACAGGCATATTTAAGTTTTTTTCAATGTTTATTTATTGAAATAACTCCCAGAGTGTGAGTGGGGGGGGGGGGGCGGCAGAAAGAGAACAGAAAGGAATCAACCAGGCTCTTTCTGAAGCTGTCAGCACAGAGCCCAACAGGGGGCTCGAACCCACCAATTCATGACCTGAGCCCAAGTCGGATGCTTAACCGACTGAGCCACCCAGGCACCCCAAGCACAGGCATATTTAAAACCATGTTTGATTTTAACTGTTCAAGGAAATCTAAGAACAATCCATACGTACATTTCTAATTGTTTCTGAATTAGGCAATTTAATCAACTACCTTTTAACAGTAACACACAAAATGAACAAGGATCTCACGATGATATGGCACTGAAAATAATGGAGAAAAATTAGCATCAGACTACTCCATGAAAAAAAGAAATGGGCTTTGATGGTTTCCAAGAGTAAGAGTTAAATTTTACAAGTCATGCCGCAGTCACTAATTGGTGCGGTGTAATTACTGTTAAATTAATTAAGCAAGGGGGCCACCAGACAGAGGCGGCTCACCAAAAGCTTTAGTGGCCTCGGAAAGCAAACCAAAGTCTGGGCCTTTAAATGCCCCCGGGTTCTGAAATCAAACCCTAAGGACAGCCCATCACGAACAGCTAACCAGGCTTTAAGCTATAGCCAATCAATAATTTCCTTTCTTTGCTTCCGCACCTTCTCTATAGAAGCCTGTCCCCTGGCTCCTGTCTCTACGGAGCCCCCCTAACCACCTCTGGTTTGCTGTTGCCCAATCTGAATCAATCTTTGTTCAAATAAACCCTTAAAATTTTTGATACGCCTCAGGGTATCTTTTACCATTACAAACCACAATTCCCAGTGATTTTATTGTATCCCCTTGGGTTTCCCAAGAAGACAATGCTATCAGAGTAATGGTGAGCCAGGTCACGGCTTTGAAATCACAATCCAAGCAAATGGGGTTCAGAACCACCTCCTCCTTCCCCACGTGTGGGGGCCACATGTGGGGCTCTCCCAGCCCCTGCTGAGCTGCCTTCTACAGGCATCGCAGATTTGAGTACTGCAACATGCCTCGGGTTTGGGAGGAAAGGAACAGCTCCGGAAAAAAGGGAACAGTCACCGTAAATGCTTTTGTAAAAGGCAACACCTGGAGGAAATCTGCATACAGAGCCTAGTTCCCAAGACACCGCCCAACCCGCCACACTTCATTTTTAGGACAGAGGCTGAGGGTCTCCCCCAGAACTGGGGGGGATGGCCAGCGCCCAGGGGTGCAACAAAGTGGTCAGTGGGTGGTCTACTGCCATTTCCCTCCTGGGACGTCTCTGAAGGGCAGAATGCTTCAGAGCCTCCGCGGGACGTCCTGAGGCTCCTGTTGGAACTGCATCCACGCCTCAACTTGTCTCTGTTCATCCCAGCTGCTCTCTCGACCTTCCGAGGAACGTTCCCAAGAATTAACCTCACCAAACCCCGGTACACAAAGGTGCCAGGCAGAGAGGCGGCTTCCCGGGGAACCCACCTGCAGCGACGTGGGATAAAATCACCAAGTTTTCACCTAACTGAATACTTTATTTCCACAGGCAAACACGAACGAAGCACAGCATTTTTAAATAATCAATATGGTTTTAAGCCCGAGCAATCGCGCAGTAAATTGCATGCTTCGTGAAAAATTTACCTATTTTATTTATTCTTTCCCTTATATAATTATGTTTCATTCACATCACCTCCAGGGGAATGTTTTCTTTTAACTTATGAGATAGAAGATCTTAATTATTCATCTTTTTTTTTTTTTTTTCAACGTTTTTATTTTATTTATGGGACAGACAGAGACAGAGCATGAACGGGGGAGGGGCAGAGAGAGAGGGAGACACAGAATCGGAAACAGGCTCCAGGCTCCGAGCCATCAGCCCAGAGCCCGACGCGGGGCTCGAACTCGCGGACCGCGAGATCGTGACCTGGCTGAAGTCGGACGCTTAACCGACTGCGCCACCCAGGCGCCCCTTAATTATTCATCTTTTTAAAAAAATCATTAAAAAAATCATTTTCCAATTACTTAAATATTAAGGATTTTTTTTTTTTTTTTTTTTGGTTAATATTTACAGCCTGGGTTTGAGATTATTTTATAAGGCTCTTATTTTTCTTAATGAAAAGGAATCCGTAATTTTATAAAGATTTTACTCATTGTACTCCTACGTGTTTCTTTCCTCTCTCTTTGAACTTTTGTCCTGAGGTCACTGGTGTCCTTCCAGAGGGTGGGGGGACAGAACATGGAGCCCCCTCGGTCCCAGGAGCTTGCTGCCTAAGAACTTCCACAAAATGCACTTTTCCTTCAGTGACTGAGGCTTTGATGCTTTGTATTCCTGACAAATACAATTCAAAACCAGCCAAGGCCTGCATCAGGTTCAACTCTGTTGGGCCCAATGCAACCCCATAAGGTAGCCTCATGGAGACTTTGACCCTTCAAGTGTGGTTCGACGTCACAAAGAACTGCTTAACTCTAAAGTTCTTTACCATTTCCTTGCTTTATGCGAAAATATGCACATTTCGGCGTGTAAAAGAATTTCTGGGGGCGCCTGGGTGGCGCAGTCGGTTAAGCGTCCGACTTCAGCCAGGTCACGATCTCACGGTCCGTGAGTTCGAGCCCCGCATCGGGCTCTGAGCTGATGGCTCAGAGCCTGGAGCCTGTTTCCGATTCTGTGTCTCCCTCTCTCTCTGCCCCTCGCCCGTTCATGCTCTGTCTCTCTCTGTCCCAAAAATAAATAAACGTTGAAAAAAAAAATTAAAAAAAAAAAAAAAGAATTTCTGAAGGGTTATATTTGGAACAAACCTGGTACATCTTTATATCTTTACAGGTGACTTCTACTGACAGTGCTTAAGAACAGGGCATTTGCTTACTCCTCTCCAGCCACCGTCCCTTCCTCTGGATCACAAGCCTCAAACTCATCTAAAATACAAAGCAGAATCCGGGGCGCCTGGGCAGCTTAGTCGGTTAAGCGTTCAACTCTGGATTTCGGCTCAGGTCATGATCTCACAGTTCATGGGATCGAGGACTGCATCTCGCTCTGTGCTGACAGTGTGGAGCCTGCTTGGGATTCTCTCTCTCCCTCTCTCCCTGCCCCTCCTGGGCTCATGCTCACACTCTCTCTCTCTCTTTCAAAATAAATAATAAATACGGGCGCCTGGGTGTCTCAGTCAGTGAAGCATCTGACTTCAGCTCAGGTCATGACCTCGCGGTCCGTGAGTTCGAGCCCCGCGTCGGGCTCTGTGCTGACAGCTCAGAGCCTGGAGCCCGCTTCAGAGTCTGTGTCTCCCTGTCTCTCTGCCCCTCCTCACTTGCACTCTGTCTCTCTCTCAAAAATAAATAAATATTAAGGAAATTCAAAATAAATAATAAACAAATAAACTTAAAGTAAAATAAAACACAGTGCAGTACCTAACTATTCCCGTAAAGGACAAAACTAAACAGAATCTAGCGGTCACAAGGAAACGTTCTCAAAGTGGAACTGTAAGAAGGAAAGGTCAGATCGCTAAGTGCTTCATTGCTGCAGAGGTTGGGAAACGAGGGGAGGAGCCACGGCCCCAGAGAAGCCCAGGCCGGAAGACGCCCATTCATTCATGCTCAAGACTGCCTGAAATCCCGACGGTAAAAAGGCAGAGGGTCATTCCTCGCTGACCTGATTCGAGATGGAAGTCAAAGCGGAGAGGGAATATTTACTGCTACATTAATGGAACACACCCGTCACTATCCAAGGGGTCGGAAATTTAAGTACCTCTGAGGATGGCGGAGAAATTGTCACTTTATGTCACTCACCAGGATGGGTCCTCAGTGAGGCCTCATTACGGTCCTCATTGGTTCCCCGGCCTGTTCACGTTTCATGCAAGGACGCTCGAGAGATGCTCAACATGATGTAATAGTCCCCCACTCTGTGGTGCAAGCG